AAAAAAAAAAAATTGGATATTTGATGGCTGCAGTGAGCGGTATGGGCCCAGTTGGGTTCTACTTTATAGTATGCTCTTTTTACCCAATGGGGTTTAGGCCTAAAGTCAGACTTGAGTTCATGTAGAGGCATGTGTCAGCTGTGATAACTATTGGAGAGACTTAGACTAATTAAGATCACTGACAGATCATTTGGGGAGGGGTGAGGCACGGAGGGCAATCGGGGATGACAGGGACAATGTGGGAGGAGGATGGGTCATAACAGAGGGAGGGGGATGGGGAATCTAGGATGGTAAAACAAAAGGCAAGGTATGCAGGACACAAGAATTGGGAAATTATCTGCTGAGAACATATATGTTGACGTGCTTGATTGAGCCAACGCACAGTATATATTGGATGGAAAATTCATTTGTGTGTTGCGATGGGAAAAAAAAATTATAATAAAAAATAAACTATAAAAAAAAAGAGAAGAGGATAGAGAAAGATAGCAAGTGAACAATAGAGGGGATGTTAGTGAGAAACAGATATGGTTTATTATCTGTTGAAGATGACGTGTATAGTATTCTCAACTGGACTGGTCTGGGAAGTATTTCATGATGGGTGAAGTCTTTTAACAAGCAAAATGAGAAATAGTGATTGACTGTTTTAAAAAATTATAATAATAATAATTATTGGGAAATGCATGGAAAAGACTTTGAATGATAAAGCGGGGAGATCGATGCCTCTGTATTGACTGACATGCATGGCATTCCCTTTTGAAAAAGCAATGGAAGTCAATGTAAAGTTATATGTAATCCAATGTAATATAAAGAAGATTATGATAATAAAAAAAAAGAGAAGATTACTTAATCATTCTGAGTTTTAATTTTTATTATATTTGTGTTAATATTTCTAAAATGCATTATACCTTCCCAGTCTCTTCAATACTGTTGTAAATATAATTTAACTTTTAAGTCTCAAGATTATCATTACAAATTTCAATTCTTGATCTATACTAAAATACCATGATGCCATAGGGACTATGGCTATTAGCTTCCACTCAAATTGTCCCCAGTGGGGTGTGCTAAAAATCTTAAAAAGAGACAAAAATTCTATTATGTACTATATTAGCTCTGTTTCTGCTTATAGCCTTCATTTCTCAATGTCATCATTGTATCATTTTAATATAATCCTCCTAATGTGAATGACAATTTGTCCTTTCATATGAGTTAACTTTTGTTTAAAACTGGTAAGAATTAGTTCTTCAATGATATTTTTCTATCTACTCTCATGTTCAAGGTTATATTCATAACAGCTCAAATATGCTAAAATTTCATATCATGTACCAAAAATAAAATTATTAATATACTATGAAATGTTCCATGATGATATATGTTATAATCAAACAGCTTTCAATTTTACTGTACCTGTGTAAATAAGAACTCTTGCTTAACATTTTTGAGGTGAGATGTCATTGCATTAATTCTATCTTCATAGTCACGAAGCTGTTCTTGTAAGCTTGACCTTTCATCCTGCATCTTTGACAACTATAAAGAACAAATGCTATGATTAACCAAAGTCCTATTAAGTTTTACCACAGTGAAGAACCTAAAATTGAAAGAAAATTAAATCTTCATTTATTTTTTGCCTTACTCACTTTAGGTTAATATAACAAAAATACCACATACTGCATGGCTTCAGCAACAGAAATTTATTCCTTACAGTTTTGAAGGCTGGAAAGTACAAGTTCAAGTTGTCGGAGTGAGGGCACTCTTTCTAGTTTGCAAACAGATACCTCCTTGCTGTAGCCTCACATGACAAAGAAAGACATCATCTTTCTCCGTTTCTTCCTATATTGGTATTAATTCCAATCATAAGAGTTCTACCTCATGACCTAATTACCCCCAAAAGTCCCACCTCCAAATATTATCATTGGATATCACCATATGAATTTTAGGAGAACATAAACATTCAGTATAAAACAGTTAGCTTCTTTAAATGTCCATATGACCTTCTAAAATCTACTGATCTTTTCAATGTTGTAAAATAGTGTTGTGATTTGGAGATTCTTGCGGGAAAACTAGCATCCAGATTACACAGAACAGAAATTCTGTTATTCTATTACACGGAATAGAAATCTCTCTTAGGTTTGCAGCAGTATAGAGATCCACTACCAAAAGGCATTTTTTCTTTTTATTTTATAAGAATTGTTTTAGCTAATTTTATTTATTCATTCATTTATTTTAATTTGACGAGAGAGAGAGATAGAGAAAGTGAGAAAGCAAGCTCTCAGGTCCAGGACTTGAACTGTGGTGTGGTCAACCATGTGGGAGCGTCCAGCTTCTTAACTACCATGCCACCTGCTGGTCCCTAAAATGCATTTTTCTTACAGCAGTACTATACTTACATGGGGAAAAATGAAATTCTATCATAACTAAATCATAAGATATCTTAAGTAAATGACAGTATACTAACAATACATAATTTAAAAATAATAAAAAAAAACACAAAGAAGAAACCATAAATTTGAACAAAGCTAGACACCAGGCATGATGTCTTCTCCCTGAACTCCTTTCAAAACTCATAGGTTTAGGCTGAGCTAAACAGAAAAACTAATTATAAATCTTTGGTAAACTACAGGATAGATTCTCAGGACAATTAGAAATTACCAACCCTCTATCAAAACAATATGGTATCAACACAAAAACAGACATGTGGACCAATGGAACAGAATAGAGATCTCAGAAATAAACTCCAAAACATACAGCCAACTGATCTTTGACAAAGGAAACCAATCAATTCAGTGAGAAAAGAAAAACCTCCTTAGCAAAAGGTGCTGTTAAAACTAGGTATCCACCAGCAGAAAGATGAATCTGAACCCCTACCTCTCACCATCGACAAAAATCAACTCAAAAACCTAAGACCTCAAATGATAAAACTACTGGTGGAAAACTATGGGAATACTCTGGGAGACACTGGGGTAGGCAAAGACTTCTTAAGCAAGACTCCCAAAGCACAGGCAATAATCCCAAAGATAGACAAGTGGGATCACATCAGATTAAGATGTTTTTGCAAGCAAAAGACATGGTATTTAGTGTGAATCGACAGCCCTCAAAATGGGAAACTAGTTTTATACACTATGCTTCAGATAATGGACTGATAACCAGAATACACAGGGAACTCAAACAGCTTTCCTGAAAAAAAAAGATGATCAATCCAATTAAAATAAGGTAGATTGAGATGAAAATATCTCTCTAAGGAAGATATACAAATAGCCAAAAGGTATATGAAAAAATGTTCAACGTGTCTCATTATAAGGAAGATACAGTACAAAACCACAATGAGATACCACATAACCCCAGTCTGAATGACTAAGATTTAAAAAACAAAAAATGGTAAGTGCTGAAGGCAGTGTGTTGACTCTTCTACACTGCTGGTGGGAATGTAAATTGGTCCAGCCACTGTGGAGAACAATATGGAGATTCCTCAAAGATCTACCAACAGAACTACCATATGATCCTGCAATCCCATTCCTTGGTATCTACCCAAAGGACAGAAGAATGCTTACTTGCAAAAGACATAGATCCATTCCAAATCCCCAGGAACAGAGGATTGAATAAGCGTGGCACATACACTCCATCGAATACTACTCAGCCATAAAAAATAACAATACCCTGGCTTTTGACAGAAACTGGATGAATTTGTAAGCTCTACTGCTGAATGAAACAAGCCAGGCTATGAAGGAGAGACATTGTATTTCCCCAGTTAATATATATCACCTGTCTACAGTCCATGGCCAAAACTGTGTGGACAAAAGTCTGACTGCTTTTTGCTATTTTTCCAAAGTCCTTTCCAGAGGGCCTAGGAGGAGCCATGCCACTTGGAAATAAACCACATTAATTATTATTAATTATTAATTTTTACAGTTGGTTATTTTTCCATTGACAACTGAGTAACTAGAGGATGTAGAAACATAAAAAATGGTTATACCTACCAGATACAGTGTGGGAAGAGGGTGGGAGAAGGAGGAGAGTCTGAGGAAAGACATTAAGGAGAAAAATAGAGAGGCAACACACTTATGAGATAAAGAAATAGGTTATTATCTATTGAGGATAACATGTATAGTATTCTCAACTGGATTGGTGAGAAATGTATTCATGTTGGAATATTCACATTAAAAACTAAGTGACATATGTGATTGAATGTATAAAATAAATTGAAATAAACTGTATATAAATAAAGATTTTTTAAATGTAGTGTTTTTAAAATAAAAAAAATTTTTTTTAAAGTATGTATGGCAGTACTCCATTTTTGTAATACTCCTGTTTATCTCTTCCTTCTGTATGTCTGTACACCAAGTTGTCTAAAATGTTCTAAAATGTCATGATAGTCACTTCTAAGTCAATAACCAGTATTTGTGGGAGGGAATATTTTACATTTCTATTTTATACCATTCTATTATCTTTGAGTATCTTAAATTTATAAAAGCTGCTTTTGTTAATCTGCATTTATTCAGGAGAAGTAATTATACCCCTAATTTTTCTTCTCTTTATTACTCTGTAATTTTTTTAAATAGCTAATATAAGCAATATGTACGTAAAATGCTGCGAGGCAAATACTATGTTCTAATAGTAAAAACTGAATGGTTGGATGGAAGTTTAACCTACATTATGTTTTTAGTGCCTTAGAACAACCCTGTCAGGTAATTACTTCTCTCCATTTTACAGAAAAAAAACGGATAAGTACTGCTGAATAGGATTAGAACTCAGGGCTGGGTACTTAATATTCCTAGTACTCACTGTCAGATTTCTCCTATTTCCAAAAGTTCCCCTCTTTGGGGGAAAAAAATAAATTTAAAAAATATAGCCTTTTAAAACAGACATAAGTAAATAGGTCAGAATATCTTGAAAAGCCTTTCCATTCTTGGCAAAAGAAAGAGTCAAAGGATTTTCATTTTTCAGAGAAGAAAGTTTCTGTTGTATTTTATAAACTTGAGTAAGCAACATCTGTTCTTCTGGGACTCAGCCACATAACTTACCACGTAGTGGAACTTGAAGACTGATTGCTGACGGTGTTAACAAGTTTGCACAGCCAGTTGCGATTTTTTTAAACCACTGCTAAGAATTTGTAGCTAGTGTAAATTCGTCCTTCCAACGTAAACTATTTTATGTCTATCTATGACTCCTTAATCCTTACTTTGGAAAACTGTAAACTGCACATTTTACATCCTAACTAAATTGTTCCTGATCTTGAACACAGCTCAAATCACTTTCATCTTTAAACCTCATAAAGAAAAACTCACGAAGAAACAGCAACCAGAACATTTTTGTTCACAAACATGCGCAAAAACCTGCTGCTACGCCAATCTCAGCAATTTTCCAGAGCTTTCATTGCCAGGTAGAAAAAAAAAACGGGCGCCGGAATTATCGGACTTTCCTCTCCTGCCTAGAAAAGCAGAAGTGAGTGGGATAGAGGAAGGGAGTAACGATTCGGGTTTTATATCAATTACTGTCTTTAGTATATATTTTTAAACGCTTTACAATTACCGAAAAGGGCAGGTTGGGTGAGAAGCATAGAGCCGGTGAGAGGGAAGAGCAAAAAAGAACAGAAGGGAGAGAAAGGGCTGGGGCGAGGGGGATGGGGGAGATGGGCGCTGCCAACCAAAAACGCCCCCCGCCAACCCCTTCTTCCCCTGATCCTCGCCTGGTTTTCCAGTATCTTGTTCTCCTCGTTCGCCACTGGGACCGCGAATCCATCCTCCCAGTGCAGCTCCGCCAGGAAGTCGCTACTCATGACCGCACACAGACAGGGTACCCGACAGGGTGCAGAGCGGAGACCCGCCTTCTCGCACCGCGGGTGTGCGGCACCCACCTCCACCCGCCGGACCTGCAAAGCGCCGCGGAAGTTGCCACCGGAGCCCTGGCAACCGCTAGCGCCCTTACGTGCCAAACAGGAAGCGCTCCAACGCGAAGGCGGGACTTCCGGACGAGACTTCCGGCTTCACGAAGGTGGAACTTCCTCGCTCTGGAGCTCCGAAAGAAGCAAGCAGTTTACGCTTGATGTCTGGAGGTTGCTAGGAAGAAGCAAAAGTTTACATCGAAAGGCGGCCGGGCTCGCTCCCCCGACTCTCAAGGAGGGGTTGCAAACCTGTAGCCCCTGAAGCCGGCTAAAGAGCACCTGAATACAGGCTACCTGCACCACCCAGCTGTCCGATACCTGGGACGACGCGTGCCAACAAAGATGATAAACCGAGTTATCTTTTGAACAGAATTCACTCCCCAGAATCATTGCTGGATCTTTGCCTGTTTCGATCTAGCCTTCCAGTGCTCACGGTGTCCGTGCAGATGTCCTCTCTGACTGCAGCGGGTGGACCCGCGCACATTTGGAGCACAGAGTTTGGTGGTCCCTCCTGTGCCTGTCCCACCTTGTTCTTTTTCTTTACATTTTCACTTGACATTTAGAGATGTGGAATTCACATAAAGATCTGTATTTCCTTCTCTCGAAAGTTTGTGACAGAACCCACCTTATCATTAAGCCTCTCTTCGGCTGGAGAGGCGCCCCCTGTAGGCCGGCAAGCCTACAGTCGATTCTCTGATTTGAGTTCTGGTTTCAGCTGTGTATGACACTTTACAATAGGAAAGGACAAAATGATCAACTAATCTAATCGCTTTGTGTTCTAGATAAATTGAGTCTCCCTGTAGCCAAATGACTAAAGTAAGGCGTCGTAAGCATAAATTTAATTTTGTATATCCAGTGAGCAACCATCTGTAACTATTTTGCCTTACAAATTTAAAATTACCTGTATTTTGTTAAACTTTTATTTAAAGCTTTTATCATGAAATTATTCATGTATGTAAGACTAGAGAACAGAGTATAAATAACTACCCTGTATGCATCACCTTGATTTAACATTTTTCCATTTTACCATATTGGCTTCATTTGTATCTTAAAGTAAATCATAGATATGACATTTCATCTCTAAATACTTGGGCATGGGGTCACCAGGTGGGATGGTGGTTAAGGCACTAGACACTCATACATGGCCATAGTTCAAGTTCTGGACCTGCTGGCTTGCTTTCTCACTTTCTCTCTCTCTGTGTCTCTCTCTGCTCAAATTAAAATAAATGAATGAATAAATAAAAATTAAATTAAAAATTCTTTTTAAAAATTCTTGAGCATATATTTCTAGAAGTATGTTTAATGTTTTCTAACATAATATATCATTATCACACCAAACAAAATTACCAATTATTCTTCAACCAGCCCCTTAACCACCATGCCACCTGCTGGTCCCCATATTTTTTAAAGTCTATTCATTTATTGAAGCAGAGAATTGAGCCAGCGGTGTATGTTAGTTAAGGAGCTAGATCCCACATGGCCAACTATGTGGTTGGAGTCCCTGACCAGTGGCTTGAGAAACAGGCTGGGTAAATGTGCATGTATACCCAAAGTCCATAAATGAGGGAAAGATGGAGAAAAAAGGATTGTGGCTTGACCATACCTCATGGGGAGTGCCCTCTGCACACACCTGCACCCCCATCCTCTGTCTCTCCAGCAAGCGTACTTGCCCTCTGGCAAAGTTAAAAAAAAAAAGAAAGAAAGAAAGAAGAAATACAGTATTCAATGAACACTTTCTTTAGAGAGAGAGCACTCTCAACAGGATCTCACAGTGCAATCTTCCCCACAGCCTTCCTAGACAGCCAGGATCATAGGGAGAAGCCCTTGCAGTATATAGTGGGCCCAAGAACAAGCCAAACACATGACTGCAGCTGCCTTTGGTAGGTACTATCCTACATCCCATGGACAGAAGTCCTTAAAAGAATCCTATATCCCATATCTGATGGATTCTGTTTTCTGAATTTAAGGATGGCAATTAGACAATATTAATTCTAGACAAAATGCCCATGCATTCTCAAAGTTCTACAATTCTGCCTTAAAAAGATATCCCTGTTTTTCCACTTCATCACCACAGCATCTTGTATCATCTAGATCTTACTCTTATAATTCACTCAGGACTAGATTAGGAAATAAAACAGTTTGATCCGTCCTAGTGTTGAATATGAAATATATAATTTTATCCCCAAATGCTCAAGTAAATGTCATATTTTTACTATCTCATTCCCAAGTAATAAACTTCTCCCAGATCAGGTTGTTTGACTAAATATAAAGAAAAGTGGGGTCTTTTTGCAAAGATAATGTTACCTTTGTTTAAAAAAATAGAAAAATGCACATATGTGTACAGTAAAAGGAAAAAACATTTTTCACTTCCATGCCAAACTCATCTGTAAGAGATTACCATAGTTTGTTATTTACCACTACTTTTAAAATGAGGCATTAAATAAATGCATATATAAAATTTTGTCCTACAGAAGTATAATAAAATCATATTTAAAATATTCTTCTACAAATTCATTTTTCACTTAACAATAATGGCCATGATTTTATGTAAGGGCATTTAAATCTACCTTGGTTTTCCAGTAGAAGCTTAAAGTTCAGTGTAATAAATTAGTTATGACTTTTTAAATTATGCTTTTGCTAATATATTTAAAACACTGAATTTAGTCAATCCTAGAATCTAGTTATTTTCACATTTTAATATTTTTGAAATGAAGATGTATCTTTTAATTAATGCTTCAATTCAATGGGATAAAATATAACTTTGCACACCTATCTGTTTCCAAGGAAAGTGGTCTTAGAAGTAAAATGAATAGAAAAGAGGTATAGAAATTTTATTTTGATACGTAGCACTAAATTATCCTTCAAAAAGGTTTTACTTACCCATCAACAATATAAGCATATCCTTGCATATTTATTAAATATTAAACATTTTATCATGTACAGAGCAAAATGAAGTACCTTATTAATTGGCATTTCCCTAAGAGTGAGACTGACCATTACAATTTTTCTAAGACTTTATCATATTCTTTGCCTATTTCTTTTTTATTTGGTTGTCTTAGCGAATTTGAGCAGTGGTTTATATATTTTAGATGGTATTCTTTATGTATGTTTGTATGTATGTGTGCATGAATATTCTTTATTCCAATCTATTGTGAGGGTTCTATTTTCAATGTTTTAGTTTATCTTACCACATGTACATCAGATACTGCTCTTTTTTCTTTTTTTTTTTTGAGAGGTTTGTGCATTCGCCAGACAGACAGAGAGAGACATAGAGACAGAAAGCGAGAAATCACCCCCCAGGGGGGATGGTCACGCCACAATCCCTTCTCCTCCGTTCTCCTCTCGGGATCTTGGGCACGCACGCACACGCGCCCGGCATGAGTTTAAGCCACCAGATCCGGGACTCAAACCGCAGTCAACTACGTGGGAGTCCAGCGACATAGCCATTACGCTAACTGCTGGTCCCAGATACTGCTCTTGATAACAACGACATGCTTCCTATTCTAGTGGACAATTCTGTCATCAATTCACCTGATCCAGCAACAGCAGTCAACTCAGCTGTTCTTTCTCTGTTAAAATATTTTCTTCTCGGTCCTTTCCCCAGCAGCAGGCAACAGATGGAGCTGCAGGGCTTTAGCAAGTCAGGGACACTGAGGAAGGGCCATCGCTGCCCCATAGCTGCACCTCCAGACCCCCAGTCCAAGACTCTGCCCCCTAGGTAGGTAGCTAGTATTTTCTGCTTTTGATTTTTGTGTGCCTCTTCATTCTCTTGTTAATTTCCTAGTTTTCCTCCTCTCACAGCCTGTCTTTTCCCCAGCAGCAGACAAGAGATGCAGCTGCAGGCATTTGGAGAAATCTTTTTCTTTATTTCTCTGTGTTGTGTTTTGTTTTGTTTTGTTTTGTTTTTTGGTTTTTGTTTTTCACCTATTATCCTCTCCTCTTCATATTCCACCCTGCCAGAGAGACTAGACAGTTCTATAATCAGATATCTGATATGCTCCAGTAATATAACTTTCTCTGATATCCTCCCTTGTACTGATCCTCCTGAGAAAAAAAGGAGATATTGCTTTTCAGACACCTCAGTAGTAGAGTACCCCTCTTGAAACCATATTGGTAAAAACAACAGAAGAGAGACTTCGGCAGTGAAAAGAAACTCACTCCTAATCAGAGAAACTTTCCCGTAAAAGGTATTCAAAGTGAATACATCTTCCAATGGCTAGAAGTAGAAGAAGGAAATATATCTCCACCAAAGGATAATGGTAACTCCCCTCCATCTCTCGTAAATATGGAAGATGTTACCAAAATGTCAGACAAAAAATTTCGAACATTCATGCTTACCAAATTCTATGAGATGGAACAGAAAAGAGACAAGGAACTGCAGGAGATTAGAAATTCCTTCCAGGACATGAAAGAAGAAATGGACAATCTGAGAAAGAATCAGATGGAACTATTAGAAATAAAGTCTGTAATACAGGAAATCGAAAACTCTCTTGAAAGTATTAAAAGTCAATTAGACCATGCTGAAGACCGAGTCTCTGATGTAGAAGATAAAGCCTCTGACCTAGAAAAAAAGACAAAAAGATTGAGAAAATAACAAAAAAAAAAAAAAACACGATGATAATATACGAGAACTACTAGACTTCCAATAGACGCACAAACATCAGAATAATTGACATCCCAGAAGGTGAAGAAACTAATAACAACATGGAAAATCTACTCCATGAAATCTTGGAAGATAATTTCCCAAGTCTAGAGAGGCACTCAAACATCCAGACCCAAGAAATACAAATAGATTCAGACCCAGAAGATCTTCCCCCAGGCACATCCTAGCCAGACTGTCCAAGACCACAGATAAAGAACATGATACTAAAACTGGCAAGAGAAAAATGAGAAGTGGCTTACAAAGGACTTCTCATCAGGGTAACATGGAACCTCTCAATGGAAACAATGCAAGCAAGGAAAGAATGGGAAGATGTATTGAAACTTTTAAGAGAGAAACAATTTCAACCAAGATTATTATATCATGCAAGATTATCTTTCATATGTGAAAAAAAAGATTGAAATCTTCTCTAATAAAACCTGAAAGAATTTGCCAACACCAGACCAGCTCTTCAAGAAATCCTGAAGAAAGCACTGTTCCAGGAAAACTAAAGAATTAACAGCCAGAAACAAAGAAATAAAAATAAACTAAGACAACGGCCAACATAAACATCAGTACAGATCCTGTGACATTGATAATAACATTGAACATTAATGGATTAAATTCTCCAATCAAAAGAAACAGACTGGCTGAATGGATAAAATAATAGAAACCCTCTATCTGTTGCCTACAGGAAATCCGCCTCGTGAAGAAAGAAATACATAGACTGAAAGTGAAGGGTTGAAAAAAGGTTTTTCATGCAAATGGGAACCAAAAAAGAGCTGGAGTTGCAAAACTAATCTCTGAAAAATAGGATTTAAAACAAAAACTGTTTGAAGAGACAAAGATGGGCACTATATCGTAATAAAAGGCTCTATAGATCAAGAAGATATAATGCATATAAATATCTATTCCCTTAA